TCTCACTTACCCTCTCCACCTCCCCGTGTGCCTTCTACTATCCCAGTACCTGGTCCCCCCGCATTATCAGACGCCTTGACTTTGTCAATCTTCCCAGATACCCCTCCATCCACATTTGATTCATCCGTTATCTGGATCCCAGTTTTCTAATATGTAAATTAGTTAATAATAATTTCATTAATTTGTAACTTTTTTTTCGATTTGTAATTGTATTAACTTGTAATGCGTTCAATAGAAAATAATAAATTAATAATAGATTATTAATCATTAATAATAGACTATTAATAATAAACAATGTTTAGTAATTTAAAATCTTTCTTTCTCTTAATTTAAAAACCTAAGACCCTTTGCTTTTCAGAAATCGCACGTGGTCTAGTCCTGAGTTGTACCCAGTGAGAAATGACAATGGAATCGACGTCGAATTGATGTCGATTCGACATCGAAATCATCGAATTGACGTCAAATCGACGTCGATTCGACGTCGATTTCATTGTCATTTCTCACTGGGTAAGGGTTAGATTCCTTGACTCGAAATTTGTATCGACGATCGAGCTGTAGGCAGTAATACATGTAGGCAATCGAACTGTAGGCAAAAGTGATATAGGAAATCGATTTGTGGGCAAATACAACCATCTCAAAATTTATGACAAGATTACAAATCTGTAGACAAAATCCTGTTTAAACACGATCGATTTTAGCAAATATATATCTAAATGTTGATCAGAGATCCTGTGTAGATAAAAACGAGTATCGCACTGCTCGTCGGAAACAGATGTTATAGCGTCCTGGCGGGACGTTGACCTATATTCCGAAACGACAAAAAGTGCGTTTGACTTGGAGTACTCACTTGTGTGAAATACCTGCCAAAGTCTAAGCGTTCTTCCTAATACCCTCACTACTTTCATTCCTTCTTTCTCCAATCGAATCCTAAATTTAAACTTCCAAGGGTTTGTACGTAACACTGCATATAATATTCTATTAGTGTTAAGAAAAAAAAGTAACGAAAAAGTGACGACTCGTTATATTTTGAGTAACGATAACGGTAACGAATTACTTTTGCAAATCAATAACGAGTAACGCGAACGAGTTATCTTTTTAGAGAAAAGAACGGTAACGGTAACGAGTTATTTTTATGAGGTAACGTTACCAATCTTGAGTAATGATAAAACTCGCATAGGAGTAGAGCGGACTAAACTGAGTCGACTTCATCATTTTGAAATTTTCGCAATAATTAACAAACATCAATTAAGGTACCTGAGCCGAATAAGGCCCACCTAACATATTTTATTTTTTTTTAATTTTATTTATAAGGATATTGAAATAAACTTTGTACGAATAAAATCTTTATTCCAATAACTTTTAAAAAATATATATATCTTTTATGAAAAAGATTTTTAAATAAGCAAATAAAATATTTTTAAAAAATCTGATTTTGGGCCTTATTTCATGCATATGTATTTAATAAAGCCCGATCACAAACGTTACGATAAATGAACAATCAACGTTTTTTTTTTGAAAAGAAACTTTGTTTTTTAAAATAACAAATAATCTTTGGTAATCGTCTTTGACAATTGTTTACTTTAGATAACTTTAACTCGATAAATTTTAACTTCAAAATATTAACAGCATCGAAAATCTGTATCTTGTGGTGTAAGTCCCATACATAACTCATGGTACCATTTATTACACTTAGTACATTGCCTCATATCCTCCATACGATCTTCTTTACATGCCGTACAGTACCAAGTAACTGTTGGAGTGGAGTGAGTGATAGCTTTAGATGTTGAAAGTCGATCTGACTTTTTGTCATATTGCTTCTTAAAGAGATCTTTAGTTACCTTTTGTGCTTTGTAATTTGCAAATTATCATTTAGTATAACAGATTTTACATCGGTACCTTTTCGTTGACAAAGTTTATATCAAACGATCAGCTCTTGCTTGGAAGGCATAGCAGAGTGGCGACCATTGTTATGTCAGTGATGCACATTTAGCTCCCCGGCACCACGGAAAACCGCCCCACCACTTCGCCGCTGCACGAGAGCGAGCGAGACAGCGAGTCTGTCTCGCTTAAAAACAATTTTTTCAGAATTCTTTGTCAACTTTTTAGTACTGCATTTTCTTATATGTATATATACATATATGCATATTGGCAACAACTTTTACCAACATGAGAAAATATGGTACTACAAAATATAGTTTTTAAAAAACCGCTTTTTTCAAGTTGCTGGAAAAAAAACCGGAAACATTCCCGTTTTTGTTGAAAAAATGGTTTTTTTTTGGAGAAATTGCTGTTTTTGCAATGTATATAACATGCTATTTAATTTTACTATACATACATCCCGTAGGTTAGATCGGTTAGATTAGAAAATTTATAATTCTTTTCATTCTAAAGACTTTATGTGGTTCGTCTTAATCTGCACATTACAAAATGTGTTAGATTTTGTTTAAATTAGATATAAGATTACAATTAATTCTCATATTTCATAATATTATTAAAATAAGATACTTCGTTTAAGCATTGAAATTAATATTGAGATAACTTTTATATTTATGTTTACAATACTACATCACTTGATTTAAAATTTATTTATTATTAAACAAACTAATTTAGAAACAAATGCAATCTCAACAACTAGTCTGAAGAGTAATTTAAGTTAATACATATAACAGTGTATGTTTCGTATGTTCTATTGAATACATTATGGGACCACAATTCTGTTAACTTATCGAAATTATCCCGCTGTGTACCCTATAGGCAATTATTTTCTTTATAAAAAGAATCAAGAACAAACGTGATAGATTTTATGAACATGCGTGAATTTTTTCAAAATAAATTTTTCTACCTTTAGGAAAAAAACCGAAAGAATCCGCGGAAAAATTGGAAAAATTTGGCTTTTTCCAGATCCTTTAAAACTATAGGTACTACAAAATTCCAAAAAAATTTTGAAGAGAAAGAACTCGAAAAGAAAATAAACAATTTTTGTCAGGTGATTTTTTTGTAAAGTTGATAGTATTGGAGTAAAAAATTATTGAAAACCAATATTCGACAAGATTTAGTAATTAATATCTTGTTAACTATAGTAAAAAAATTGTGAAATGATACAAGATTGTTTAATTCAGTTTAGTCCACTCTATATCCCTATGCGAGAGTTTTATCGTTACTTATTAAACACCCTGTATATATATATATATATAAATAATCTGAACTTAAATATATTTTGCTACTGTAATTTTGATGGATAGTCCAGAAGAATAGTTGTCAAATTATTATGTTTTATAATTAAACATTATATTCTATAATTAAAATATGAATATTCAGAAAAAAATGTTTCTACATAAATCACGAAAATAAGTGAAAAAAAGTATATATAATGTAATAGAGAAAAACTAATCAGCTTTAAATTGAAAATTATCGCAAGAATATTCGCCTGATTCAAAATTTAATTTTTACGAATGCTTAGAGTTATTTAAGATAATATTTAAGATTATCAAAAGAGCTTACATAGATTAACATTATAAATTAAATTTAAAAGATTTTTAAGTCTATATGTTTATACAGATACGACTTTGAATGAATAAACTTGAAGTAATATAAAGTTTTTTTTTGATGTAAAATAAATATTTCATGTAACTGCAAACCGCGCATAAAATGTATGCTCTCATTATTTTAAAAGAAGTTTGCTATAGCGGTAGAAGTTAAGTTAATGCTAAAATGTTTTTACATAATCCATAAGAACTCAAAATGATAATGATAATGTTGACATTGGTGATCATATAATATTGATGACTATACTACAATGCAGAACTATTATTTTGAGTCATAAATTTGCGCTATAATTAACTAGGATTACAGATGGAGAAATTACGAAAAACGTATTATCGTGTATATATATCATGTCGTACATACAGATGATATTTCAGTGAATATCATTCGAACAATAATACCGTAACAATCGACTGTTTCCATCGCAAGATCCTAGTCGACTGAAACAGAGCTAAATTATAGACTTTATGTTCCCTATCACGCGTTTACAACTTTTACAAATTTAATATTTAATAATGTTTTGCAGACATGATGTTTGCGTGAAAGGTATTTCCGAGAGCATCGCTATATGCTCAGTGTTACTTCGTAAGAATTATTAAGCACAACGTCAGTTAGAATACATAAATTAATTTTGATTCAAATCAATTGGACAGATATCGATAAAATAAAACGGACGCCTCTTAAATTATCAATTTATAAATGATGTATGCGTGAAACGTTACAGTAAAGAAAACTTAAAATATACAAATTAAAAAATCTTTATATACAAATATCTTGAAAAAGAAGTATTAAGAAGATTGAACGGAAAGTTTCCTACAGAAAATATTTATAAATCATGACACACAAGGCGATATGGACAAGACGTAAAGAAGAGAAGAAATAGATATAAACTTAGAATTAAAAAATTATGGAAGAAGATAGTCATTGCAAAAATGTCTTCGATTAATAATTTAACTTTCATGAATGTTAATAAAATCTCCAATTTCTTTGGAAATGTAAATAAAAAAAATTCTTATGCGGGAAAAAATAATGAACAGAAAGTGAACAAAATAAAATCAGAGCTACATCAAGATTTATTTTGGCCGTTCAGAATATTGATAATGTTTTTCAAGCTTATTGGTCTCGCTGCATTCGCCCACCGAATCGTCATATACAAAAAGAGAACGTCATACACATTTCAATGTTCCAAATTTTGATCTTCTTTTGCCTCTGTTGATGACTGTTGAGATCTTCGATTATGCGGATTTTATTGATCGCATCGTCTGGATGATATTTCTAATTTATCCCATCTTTCTTCTCACCAATAGAATTACCACAATTTTAATCGAGGTAGGATAATGAATATGATAAGTTCGCATTTTAATCATATCATTTTAATCAATGAAACAAAATATTTTTATCAGTACATAAATCCCAAATATTTTACGAAATATTTCAATTATAAATTTATTGTACAGATGAAGAAAACGGGCAATATAGTGCATGATATTTTAAACTGTGCAATCGGGAAAGAGATAAAAGCTGAGGTAAAAATTAAGTTTGATAAAACTTTCACAGAAACGGTACTCACCGTAACGACGTTTATCATAAATATGTTACAGCTCAAGAAATTTTCGCTTCAATTACTACATCGCAAAATACAGTTTACAGCTAACGGATACTTTACGCTCGATAATACTTTTCTTCATTTGGTGAGTATAAATAGAATGTAAGTAATTTAATATAAATTAAGTTTTTTAAATTCATAGTTTTGATTATTTCTATCAGCTAACTGGCACAGTGATGACAAATTTGGTAATACTTGTGCAATTTCAAGTAGGAAGCTCGCATTCATCGATCAATGCAAACTATACAGGGACCGATGTAACTATATAGGGAGAGATTTAAAATAAGAAGGAGAGAAATAAATTAAAGTTAAGAAAAAGCCTAATGAGAAATATTGAAGCTTCTCTTAAATTGGGATTAAAAATGCAATTAATTGCATTTTATAAACACGCAGAATTGCAGTTCTGAAACTTCTTATTGTAACTTCCTAATACATACGATTAGTCCTGATTTGTAAAATTATAAAACAAAAACTGTAAATATATATGTATTGTATCTAAATTAATATTGTTAATTAATTTATTTATCAATTGAATAAGACTTGATAGCATAAATCAATTAATAATATTAGTTTTACTTAAGTAAAAAATTATTGAACACTAATATTCGGCGATTTTTAGTAATTAATATTTTATTAACTATTGCGAAAATTTCAAAATGGTAGTAGACTTTTCAACTCAATTTGGTCCTCTCTATACCAGCACATGAAATACTTGGCAATTATTATGGGGCACCCTGTATAGGCACACATTTTACGATGTATATATTTTGTAATGGGAAACAGTAGTAATTTTTTCAATTTTAATTGCACATTACTTAATTAAAGTGACACAGCATGATTAAAGATATGACAGGCATTAGCTGCTTTTCTTGTCAATTCGGAAACTAATTTCCTAGACGCAGTCTTTTCTACTTAATCACAACCATTTAATACTACATCGGCGAGTATAGTCCATCCATCTTCGTGAATTTCGCTGCGATATGCATGAAACTGTCGTCTTCGAAGATCACTGGAAAAGAATATATTCCTCCTAATTAACCCATTGAAGATCACCGTTGAAACGCATTAGCACACATATCATACACGTTTTATTAGATTACTCTTATACTATACATTATATTCACGAATTTTATTATTCGCACGTTTATTTTCGCACTTAAGATAACGGCATGTCTTTCCTTTTCTTTCGTATTTATTTCATTACGATACAATATCCTGGGCTCCAAATATTACTTTATACGGAGTTAATATTGTGTAACCTCCGCTTAATAAATATATTTTATGTATGATTTTAAATGTTTCGTATACGCTGGTTTACGCATTCTTTACGTATAAATATACTTAAAAGCACAACAATAATTTCCAATGCGATGTAATTGGTTCATATTGTTTTAACCAAGGATGGGATGTAACACTTAATGCAGCCGGTTGTACTATAGGAATCGTAGACGGTTGTAAGGTTTGAAGTCATAGAAAATTAACCAATCATAATCGATTATTCTACTCGTATTTGAATCTAATTGATCAATTTCCTACGACTTAAGATTCCAAGATCGTCTTCGATTCTTACCATGGTATTGTGTAGATCTCGCATTACCATTATTTTTTATAGCAACAATTTTGTATTTATTTTACAACTTCTTTTCCATGACAGTAACGATAACGCTAAAGAAAGTCACTTTTGAAGAAAATTTGTTACTATTAAAAGCGTTTCTGATTAAAAAATTAACTTATTACTCTACACTTCACATAAAAGTAACGCATTACTTTTTAATTAGTTATGTAACTCATTAATAACGAATTACTTTTTATACGACTTTGACGTTATCATTACCATCATGAAAAATGCAAATGATAAATTGTAAGATCATTATCAAATTGTTATTGTAGGAAAAGTAAAGATAACAGTAACGGCATTACAAGTAACACTTTATTTCCAACTTTATTACCAAAAAAATAGCTATATAAAATCACATTTCACGAGAATATTTTGCCTAATTATTATGTTTCCTAAAAATTCCATATGAATATTTACGCAATAAATGATTCCATTTTTATAATTAACCGAATTGAGTAGACAAATATTTACGAATAAAATTCTTAAATCATTGATATACAGTATGTAACAAAAGTAAGTAAACATAAATGTTTACAATTTTGAATAGATTTTTCTAAATTTTGAAGTTAAATATTCCAGCAATGGTGATAGCCAATTATGAAAAACATGAGTAATATATGAAAAACATTTGTTTTGTCTATTAACAGTGTTATATTAGATTCATTAATACAGTACTTACAGGAGTTACAAAAGTAAGTAAACATCTTGAGTTTTTGCTTTATATTTTGTCCCTAAAATGTATTTTATATATTTTATGTTATCTGTGTTATGTTATAAATTCATCTGTAGCAATCATTTTGATGTATTGAGGTTATGTGTTGTTATATCTTTAAAATATATTTTTTAATTTGTTAATATTTGTTTGGCATTGTCACCTTCACTTAATAACTTTGAACGTATTTTGAGTGCAGATAAAGGGATCTGATGACGAGATATTCACTATTCTTTTATCTATTCAAACATTAGACTTTTGAACGTCCTCATGATTTTGGTGCAGCTGAAACTCGTCCATCATTCTTATGTAACTATCTTAAAAAATAGCTGCCGGTGTTTTATTAAAAAATCTAGCAATTTCTCGATATGTTTGTCCTTCATTTTTCACTTTAATAACTATTCTTCTCTCTTTATTGGTTAAATCAAATGCTTCTTTTCAGCCATTTTTTCGTTTTAATCTTAAAATAATATACATGTACTTTAAAAATGGAGAAAGTTAAACTAAACCCGCCAGTAGACGACTGTGTAAATCCCAAACCTTTAGAGAAGGTGATGACGTATCACCAATAAGTTTTCAAAAGATTAAAACTTGTAGTGCGGGTGGAGCAGTTTTAAAATTAGTTCCCCAGTAATAACTCGGGAAACAAATTTTCGACCTAGAGCGGAAAAATCCCATCAACCCGAATCCTTGATTTTCCAACTTAACACATCCCATCAAATATCCACCTTCTAAAGGACTCTTATATAAACCATGGCACCGCGAGACTAGCTCTTTGATTTTGTTTCTGATTTTGTCTGTTATTTTGTCTCTGATTTTGTTTCTGATTTTGTCTCTTATTTTGTGTCTTATTTTGCTCTTATTTTTGCCTCTTATATTCCCAGTATCCGAAAAGGGATTGAAATAAATTGAAAATTTTTAATCTCTCTCTCTCTCCTCTTCTATTTTAATTCATTTGAATCAAAATTCTTTATTCATGCATATGGATAGAAAGGAATTGAATGTGATAAAATTGAATAATTTTCTATCCATATGGATAGAAAGGAATTAAATGATGTAATTCTTATTCTTTTAATTCAATACAGGTTTGAGAGCTTCAAAATCCATTTTTGTCCATAATAAGAAATTAGATCATTTTCTATTCATGTGTAGGATCCTATTCGAATAGGTCGTGATTTTCATGGATTCAGATGAATTCAAATATTTTTGTGTCAATCCTTTTATGATTATCCCAGTAAATTAAGATGGATTGAAAAGAATGAGACTCACTTCTAATCACGTATTATGGACAAAAATGGATTAAAGCTCTCAAACCTGTATTAAAAGAATAAGAATTACATCATTCAATCCTATGTCAAGGATTAAAATGAATTGCATGGCTTATTTTTTCGAAAAACTTTTTTTTGATTAAAACGAATATAAATTCTGTAGATTCAATCCCATGTCATGGATTAAAATAAATTGCATGGCTTATTTTTTCGAAAAACTTTTTTTCGATTAAAAGGAATACAAATTCTGTAGATTCAATCCCACGTTATGGATTAAAACGAATTGCGTGGTTTATTTTTTCTGTAAAACATTTTTTTGATTGAAAGGAATAGGAATTCCGTAGTTTCAATTCCAAGTCATGGATTAAAATAGATTCAAACATTGAATGGATTGAAATGGATTTAAAAAATCAAGAATTTGGATTCAGCAATGACCAAATGCATTTATTTCAATCTATTTCAATCTTTTTCCGGATACTGGGTTATCAATTATACTTGTCGATCAGTTCTGTCAGTCGGTTTTGTAATTCAGTCAGTTAGTTATGCACGGTCTCGTCTCATATATACAGTTCTTAAATCGAAAGTATACAATTAAAGATCCAAGACCTCACTGAGTCCCACTGAGATCAGGCTGATAATCATTTCAAGAAGACAAAGCCACCAAATAGTCAGGAGACAAAGCCATCTTTGTGAAACAGTAAATCCCCTTTTTCCCTTATATTCTCCGCGAATCTCAATTTAACGTATCTGATAAACATTGGTTCGAGAACCAACGATTCGTACAGAGGTTGGCTTTGGAATCGAACTTATGTGGAACCGCGTAGACTCCTGGATGAGGCGTACGCAGAGTATCTAGAGAACTCAAACAACTCTCAAAATCCAACAAACATTGCTGAGGACGTTCGTTCATCACCTTCATCACCACCGGCTCCCCCCTCATCAGCGGGTCTATCGCATCCTCTAGTTTGGCCGTTGCCTATAGTAGCGGCTCCCCGATCATTTTCTCGCTCACCCTCTCCACCTATCCCTGTCTCAGGACCTAGTTCCCCCGCGTTGTCAGACGCCTTGACATTGCGAATCTTCCCAGATACCCCGCCATCCACATCTGATTCATCCGTTATCTCGATCCCGGTTTCTTCTAGAGAAACTCCATCTCCGACAAGCTCCACGGACAGCATGGAATTCCTAAAGGAAATTCCTCCTCCATCACTAAGATCCTACTTCCTTATACAAGAGAGTGACTCATTTAAGTCACTCATAAGACAATTCATCTGCTCTTCCGAACTTCATCCTGGGGGTATCTTTACGATCGGGACCAATTATTTCGATTCCCACGAGCTCAGACATGCTATTACCGGCCAACTTCCTCATTCGCTCATTCCAGTATTTCTTCCGAATTCCGCCTATTCCTATTTAGTTCCGATGGAATTCTTTTATAACCTCTTGCCTCCTACCTCTGCTACTATACGCGAGATACATTAAAAACCAGTTTGCACTGCTCGCCCTGTAATATTATTCTCTGACGACACTAATATGTAAACTAGCTTTTAATGATTTTATTAATTTGTAATTTTTCTATTTTTTTGTTGTAATCGTATTAATTAGTAAATTATTTAATAATAATTTCGTTAATTTGTAATTTTTTTTTCGATTCGTAATTGTATTAATTTG